GTATTCCACACGAGGGTCAAAGGCAGCTTCCAGCTGCTGCTTCTGTGCCTCATCGAAGTCATTGGTAATGATACACTTCTCCGGGAAGTCGAGACTCGGGGCACGGACACGGCGTCCGCAAGGTTCGAGCAGAGCTCACATCGCGCCGCTGGGGCACCTAACCCTCTTCTTCTTCTCTCTTGGGAAATGAGTATCCGACTTGTGGTCAACTCCATCCAAATCCTCGACGAGGTAATCCATCACCCGTGGCGGGCGTGGTGCGCTGTCCGAAGTTGCACCGCGTACAGGAGTCGAAGAAGGGCTCTGCCCGCGGGTGTTCTCGGAACCAGCGAGGCTGGGTGTCTCGACACATGACTCATTGAGCAGAGAATCCGTAAAAAGACCCTGGTGATGTTGTGGTGTGTTAGACACGCGAGCCTCGTTCGAGGCGACAGTTGAATGTGAGCTGAGGTGGCCACAGTCTTGATGGGGGAGAGTGTAACGGGGTTTCATGCGCCCTGGAATGTAGGGTGTTGGTCTCACAATTCGGGGTGACCATGGTTACACAAGATGATGTGATCACACAACGGTGTGGCTACACTTAAACAAGAAGTCAGTACGTGGCTGGTATAGCCAGTCGTTACGTATTTAGTTAGGTTTTATTATATAGATAGGAAAAGCAATAAATTTTAGCTGCTTTTCCGAAAATTAAACCGAAAAATACAGTTTACATTTTAAATAGAAGAGTTAATTAGCCTTGGGTTTAGGTTGGACTTACCCTTGGAGTAAGTGGATTACGATCCGCACACTCGTACTGGCTCTAAATATAGAACGAAGGACACCGACCTAAACAAAGCTTTCTTTACGAGAAAGAGCTATGGCAGCCCCACTACAGCTAACGCCACGCACTGTTGCTCGGTCTAGAACATGGCGGACGCCATCACCATCTCGACCTCTCTCACCCAGAGCAAGAAATTCTCTCCGGCCTCGCTTTCGAAGGTCATAACACTCACCATGAGCGGCTCGGGTTGGGGGAGTCATCCGTCGTCGACGGTGGCGTCATGGACGCAGTCGACGCCGACATCTTCTGC